CACCCACCAAGCCACGCCCACCAAGCCAAGCCACGCCTGCCAAGCCACGCCCACAGGACAGGTAGTAAAAAAAATTGAATCCCACCATTGGGGTGTCATATCTGAAGTATCATTAAGTCTTTTGCAAGAATATTGAAGTTTGTGAGATTTGATAGTCTCACAAGGTCTCAGCGAATCAGAAAATGACAAATATTTGTGTCCAGCACTCTAAGTGATACATTCATATTCAGAAGCTTGGTAGCTGGCATAATCTCAGTTTAGTCGAAACCCATATTCAAAGGATGTTCCAATGCGGACTTGTATCCAAAAGTTGCTTCATACCTAGGTGACAATTTAGATTCCTCAAGCAGCTTTTTAAACTCTTCTTTGGCTAGTAGTAATTTGTTTTTCTTTTCCTTATATTCTTCTCTTATTCTCGTCTTGACAAACTGCTCAAATATCTTAAAGAAAGAGGAGAAGAGAAAGGAAAGTCACGAAACATCGTTAAATGAGTTACCTGTGAAGACAGACATTTCTTTAAAACGACTTTTGAAAGTCTGTTGTAAAAGAGTTGATTAAAATTATTTTATTGTTCCTCTCACAAATGTATTTTTTATTTATTTATAGGCACTGCTTTCAGATCATGTCGTGAATAAAATTAAGATCCTTTCAGGTGAATAAGTTGAATCCTTAAGTCTTTGGCTTAAAGTTTTTTGAACAGGCGGAGTGGTTTACTATGATCACAGTAGTACTACTAGTAGTAAGATTACTGTTTTAAATGAAAGGAAAAATTCTAAACTCAGCCTACAACAACAGTACAAAATAATGATTTTTGCATTCCAGTGATACTTGCTAGAAGGTTGGCATTATGTGGGGGCAACAGTGGTGAAAATGCAGAATTGCAGGCTAACTCTGCCCGCAGCCTGCAGTTCGATCCTGACCAGCTCGAGGTTGACTCAGCCTTCCCTCCTTCTGAGATCAGTAAAACCAGACCCAGATTGTTGGGGGCAATATGCTGATTGTAAACAACTTACAGAGTGCTATAAAGCATGATGAAACGGTCAAAATGCTATTGCTGTTGCTATTGCTACTTCATAGGGAGATCCTTCTTATCTGAGAATTTGCAACAATTTATGCCAGTGGTTGCCATGCATTTCCTTTTGTGACTCAAAACCCAATAATCCAAAAATCCTTTGTATACAACACAGATAATACCCTTAAAGGTAATTGACTTAAATTTAAATGTCCCTTTGATGGAGTAACGGGTTTGTACATTGTTATTACCCAAAGAAAAACAATTTTGGGTACTCAATTTTGGGTAATTTGCCCAGGTATGAGAAGCAGCTCCTTACACTCCAAATGTAAAAATTGCTTAATTGAGCTTTGTATTAACCTGCCGAGAATGTGGTCAGTTTTGTATTTGACTTCTGGGTCTTTCATTTGCAAAAAAAGGAAGGCTCAATTATTTTTATTTTTACTTGCTCTGTGTCCCCCCCAAAAAAGTATTTCTAATCTAATTTGATATACAGGTAGTCTTAAGCTTACAAGTCATTGAGTCATTATTTGAAGTTACAATGGCACTGAAAAAAAATGACTTATCACTGTTTTATGACTGTTGCGCCCTCCCCATTCCCCATGGTCATGTGATCATAATTCAGACGCATGTCATGTGGGGTCATGTGAGCATCTTTTGAGTCCTTCTGACAAGAAAATCCAATGGGGGAAGCCAGATTCACTTGACAATCATGTTGCAAATTTTAACAACTGCAGCAATTCACGTAACAACTGTGACAAGAAATGTTGCAAAGTGGGGCAAAAACGCACTTAAACCGATGTATCACTTAGCAACATTTTGGGTTCAGTTGTGGTTGTAAGTTGAGGACTAGCTGTATTTTGGCAACCTAGTGTCCCAGAAACATATAACGAGCATTGAAGAATTTCTCTACGCTCAACACTGAGACTGGTGCAATTCTACCAAAAATACTCTTACCCCCTTTCTATTCATTTTACGACTGCGGGTTGCATGATGAATTGTCTTAGAGAAAATACAAACTTGAAATGAATGTGTGACGTGTCTGTGTGTGAGACGCCTCTGCTTCTGTGAAGATATCTGTTTAGCTTTAGAGTTTTCAAATTATATTTTTAGCCATCACAGGAGAACATTTATCTCCAAGCTAGTAATTACATTTTCATTGGCTTTCAGGAGTTGTATATATTAAACTATGAATGAGATGGGACTAAGAAACCCGACTCCATTTTAATGGACATACTTTCCCATTTTGAAATGTGACACACTGAAATAAATCCATTATGGATTTTTTTTTTTAAAAAAAAACTGGTAATCACAAAAGAAATGTCATTCTAATATATGGAAATGAAATATTCAGCATTGAAAATGAATGGCACAATAAAAAGTTTTGTTGGAGATGCATATTCTTAGTCAAAACCGCACGTTCCAGTTCTATATTCTATAGTCAACACATCTTTGCAGCCTCCAGTTTATTCTTTGGTCATTTTGCATTGGGTTGCTGATCTGCCTTCTCTAAAGGCTGGACTTTAGAGAAACAGATTCAGCTGTATTGCAGTGGCTCAGCACCTGATTACATTCTTGCCACATAATCTACTTGGAGCTGCCTTTAAAGACTTCCTGGTAGCTTAAGTTGGTACTGAATGCAGTTGCCCAAGTACAATAGCCTCCAATTAGCTCCTAGGGGCAATTTGAAATGCTGAGTTTATCCTATAAAGCTCTCTATGTTGTTGTTGTTGTTAGTTGTTAAGTCCTGTCCAATCCATTGTGACCCCATGGACAACATTCCTCCAGGCCTTCCTCTCCTCTACCATCCTCTGGAGTCCATTTAAGCTCACGCCTACGGCTTCAGTGACTCCATCCAGCCACCTCATTCTCTGTCGTCCCCTTCTTCTTCTGCCCTCAATCTTTCTCAGCATGAGGCTCTTCTCCAGTGAGTCCTTCCTTCTCATTAGGTAGCCAAAGTATTTGAGTTTCATCTTCAGGATCTGGCTTCTAAAGAGCAGTCAGAGTTGATCTCCTCTAGGACTGATCAGTTTGATCACCTTGCAGTCCAAGGGACTCAATGCAGGAGTCTTCTCCAGCACCATAGTTCAAAGAACTCCATTCTTTGGTGCTTAGCCTTTCTTATGGTCCAACTTTCACAGCCATCCATTGCAACTGGGAAAACCACAGCCTTGATTATACGCACTCTTGTTGGCAGGGTGATGTCTCTGCTTTTTAGTATGCTGTCTAGAGTTGCCATAGCTTTCCCCTCTAGGAGCAAGTGATTTTAATTTATTGGCCCAGTCACCATCTGCAGTGATCTTGGAGCCCAGGAAAATAAAATATCTACCTCCATTTCTTCCCCATCTATTTGCCAGGAATTGAGAGGGCTGGATGCCATGATATTAGCTTTCTTAATGTTGAGTTTCAAGCCAACTTTTGCACTCCTCCTCCTTGACCCACACCAAGAGGCTCTTTAGTTCCTCTTCACTTTCTGCCATTAGAGTGGTGTCATCTGCATATCTGAGGTTGTTGATATTTCTCCCGACAATTTTAATTCCAATTTTTGATTCATCATCCAATACTGCATAGGGGAGAGTATTGCAATTCAGCAATGATGAAACATTGCCCAAGGGTTTTGCCAAGTTTTCCCTTCTAGTCCAAGTGACAGGAAGGATGTTAAAACTGCCTGCCCGCCCCATTCTCAGAAGGGGAAAAGCAGTTGGCACTTAAATGTGGAAAGAGCAAAAGAAACAGAAGAATCTGCCAATAAGGGGCTCCAATAACCACTATTCAAACAAAGCAGCTGGCTATTACTGTCATCAAAATGGAGGAAAGATTTGAAATCTGGGCGAAAAACTTTGCTAAGCTAGCTATATTTCCAGCCAATTCATTCACGGGAGACAAGTGGTTAAAGGTTGAAATGCAGACAAGAGGTTATTATAGTGTAATACATGTTCGTAAGGGAGAAAGATCAATTCACAAGTAGATGTGTAAATGTGCCTGTTGTGTATGTCTTGTTCAAATTTAGCAGTAAATGATGTGACAGGTTATATCTGGCCACAAACTGAATTGTTTTCACAGAGATAAGTTTAATTGAGGGTGCTTTTCTCCATGATGGTACTATTCTTTTTTTTATAACTGTAGGATAGTCATAGTTAATCTACTATGACCTTTTCAGTGTAGCTGAACTGTGAGATGAGACAAAATGCCAATAAATCAAGAGAAAGTTCAATCCATGATCCAATTTTAATCCACCTAGTCCCAGAGTAACTGGTTTCCATGGAAAGATTGGAGAGGAGAACTTGAGAATTGTTTTAAATAACCAATATAAATGCAAGCCATTTGGGGGCCAGAGTTCAACATCATGTATATGTTCATTATAATGAGCAGATGAATTTTATGTTAATAAGCATTTGGTGAAGATCTGTGTTTAAAAATTATGGCTAATTGCAACATCTCCATTTATAACCCCCCTGCTTTATGAAGTGGTACAGAAATAGCAGTAGTAGTTAGACTTACCATATATACACCACTTCACAATGCTTTACAGCTCTCTCTAAGTGGTTTATAGAGTCAGCATATTGTCCCCAACAATCTGGGTCCTCATTTTACCCACCTCAGAAGGATGGAAGGCTGAGACAACCTTGAGCCTGGTGGGATTTGAACTGCCGAACTGCTGGCAGTCGGCAGTCAACAAAATTAGCCTGGAAACACTGCATTCTAACCACTGCACCATCATGGCTCATCATGTGGGAAACCCCACATTGGTCTAAACTAGTGTTCTTAACTTCATCATTTTTTTGAGGTATGGACTTCAATTCCAAAATTACTCAGCATAGTAGAAGCAGAATTCTGAGAGTTGGCCCAAACATTTTAAAGCTGCTATAATTGGGAAATACTGGCCTAGAAGACAAAGAACTAAAATTCCACAATGTAGAAGATTCCAAGTAAAAAAGTATCTTACTGTTTTAGATTTTGGAGCATATCTTAATAGCCCTGGGAAAGATATGTCACCAAGGATGGGGTGTTTCTTGTGGAGCGACAATGAAACAGGCTAGATTGCTATAAGTCTGTACCTTTTTCATAACATATTTTGACAGAATACAGAGTTAGAAGGGACCATGGAAGGTCTTCTGGTCCAACTCCCTGCTCAAGCAGGAGATCCGATACCATTTTAGACAAATGGCTATCCAGTCTCTTCTTCAAAGTCTCCACTGTTGAAGCACACACAACTTCTGAAAACAAGCTTTTCTACTGGTTGATCTCCTTGGTTCTAGGTTGCTTCTTTCTTTAGCAATAACAGTTAGACTTATATACCGCTTCATAGGGCTTTCAGCCCTCTCTAAGCGGTTTACAGAGTCAGCATATCGCCCCCAACCACAATCCGGGTCCTCATTTCACCCACCTCGGAAGGATGGAAGGCTGAGTCAACCCTGAGCCGGTGAGATTTGAACAGCCGAACTGCAGAACTGCAGTCAGCTGAAGTAGCCTGCAGTGCTGCATTTAACCATTGCGCCACCTCGGCTCTTTGTTCAGTTTCCATCTGGTGCTTCTTATTTTGCCTTCAGGTACTTTGGAAAATACGCAGACTCTCTCTTCTTTGAGGCAGCCACTCAAATATTGGAACACTGCTATCATGTCGCCCTTAGTATTCTCAAATAAATGTCCAACACATGCTTAACTGATGAAAAATAACTGGAGTGGGTTGATTCTAAAAGCTGGAGGATTTCTGTGCAAAGGAGATTTGTGATCCCTCATAGGAATCTCAACGAGAGAGCTAAATTGATCCTCGGCAGGTGGTTTCAACAGAAATTCCTAAATGAATAACTTGGCATTCCAAATTCAAGGCTTGAGCTTGGCCAAGTGGTTTCTGACAATTAGGATGAAGCCTTAATAAAACTGCCGGTTGTCCTCTGTTGGTTTGAGGATGCGGATACAATCTTATATCTCAGGAAGGTTAAAATTCATTGCCTCTTTCCTGCTGGCTGTCAGTGGATTTCTTGCAGTGCTTTGCCTGGACTTGAAGTTGAATAGCTGTTGTTATACAATTGGCATCTCTTCACTGAGAACCAGCCTCAGCTTTAGAGGAAGCAGCAACGTTCATTGATTTCCCCTTACGATTCCAGCTTCAACATGCAGGCAGAATGAACTTGAATAACCTCACAAGAAATCCAATCACTTTAAATAAATTAATATATATTGAAGAAACTCAGCCAATAAATGTAATCAATTATCCCTTTTGCATTTTATTTACATCCCCCCCTCCCCCCAAAAATACATAATTCAAGTCTCCTTTTTGGGTCTGTATCCATCCATCCATCTTTTCCACCTGCAATTGTTAGATTTGCTATTGTATTGCTTTTAATTAACTGTGCAAGAAGTGAGTCTTATACCCCCCCCCAATATAATGTTCTATGCTTGTGTGCACAAATGCACACATGTGCACACACCCCTCCTCTGAAAAATCAGGAAATCCTTTTGAGCACTGCAATGGGTATCCCTGAGTGCTACAGAATGAAAGGGAGGTTAATTGAATAACAGTAACAGTGTCTGAATCAATACTGTATGCTATTTATGCTTGCCAAATTGATGACAGTATATTTTTGAATATTTCTGGGACCCTGAACGAGAAGGTTCTATCATGTTTTACTTTGGAGCTCCATAGAAAGTTGGATAGCCACAAGTTTTTAATATTGTATACACGAATCTGAGGATAAACGTGACAGCCTTATCCAACTTTACATGATAGATGATAAAAATGACCTTTGGCACAAACAGGTTTTTGTTGCTTTTATATCAGTTTTATTTTAGTTTTCTAGAAAATGGATATTCAAACATATGTGCAAAGTAAAACTACCATATATAAAAAATATTAATATGGTACAGAAACCAACATAGTAAACAGCACAATGAGTAAGATTGAAAACCAGGAAGCATCAGAAATTGAGGAAAGACGTATCCAAGTCCATTAGGACAAGTGAGATGCAGCTACACCTTTGGCAAAAACATTTTGCTTGTGCTTTTGATAAACTAAGTCCCCCCCCCCCCCAAACAATCCTCTTTACAAAAGATTGATCAACCCAAATATAATCATTTGATAGGTTGTTTTGATCAGAGCCACCATGTTTTGCAAGCTTAAGGAGAGAAAATACATTTTTGTATGTTTTTTTACTTTCAAATTCTTCTAAAGCATCTGCAAAGATTCGATCCTCACCATACCTTAGAATTTGGTAAACAAACACATTTTAATTGCCAAGGGAAACAACCTTCCTTGAAATTAGAAAGAGATGATCATATAAAATTGATAAAGTTGCTCTTTATTCAAAAATATAAGCCCTTAAGTCAATAGCAATAGCAGTTAGACTTATATACCGCTTCATAGGGCTTTCAACCCTCTCTAAGCGGTTTACAGAGTCAGCATATCGCCCCCAACAGTCTGGGTCCTCATTTTACCCACCTTTCTAATTTGGCATGGAAGGAAAAGTTTTGAAAGTGAGTGCAGCCTAAAACTTGTTGCCAAGCAATTGCTGCACACTTTCCCCATTGTCGGCCAGCATTTTTCTGATAACCTTCCATTCACCTGACATCTCACACA